AGAGCTTGATACAAAGGCCAGTTAGATTTTTTAAAGTTCCATCTCGAATATGGAGTAATATCAGTTGGGTTTACAGGTTTTAATATAGTAGGAAAATGGTCACTTCCACATAGGTCATCATGGACTGACCATTCAAATTCATTTAGTAATTCTGAATTCGTGATTGATAAGTCGAGAGCAGAATAGGTTCCTGTACCAGGGTGTAAATATGTGTTGGAACCATCATTATAAATACATAAATCATTGTCTGAACAAAACTCCTCCAGTAGTTTACCTTTAGCGTTTGTATTGACACTACCCCAGAGTGGGTTGTGCCCATTTAAATCTCCCATAATAATACAGGGCTTCGGGAGTTGGTCATATAGAGCTTGAAGATCAGTTTTGTGAAACGTTGAAGACGGAGAGATATATACAGAACACAATGTAAACGCAACATGTAAAGTAATTCGCACTGCAACAGCCTGCAGATGAGTAGTTAGTGAAACTGGGCTATGGATAACATTCTGTTTGACTAAGATTGAAGATCCGCCTGTGGCCCTGTCACCAGGAGGCGAAAAACAATGGTATGCATTGAAAGAACGCAGGACAAAATCATCTGTCTGTTTTAAATAGGTCTCCTGCAGACAGAACGCTGATGGTGTTAAATCCTGGACTAAAAGCTGCAATTCATTGAAATTAGTCCTTAGTCCTCTGCAATTCCACTGTAGGATATTATTCTGATAACCTATCTTTTAGGGGGATTTATTGGGGATCTTCCCCGCACTTGTTTGGTGGGCGACAAGCTATGTGCCCTACTACGGACGTTTTCAGACACGTCCATATCCTCAAGAGATCCATATTTGTTGAATAATTGAATTTGATTTTCTGACCCCTTTGGGGCTCTGCCACTGAGTTTTTTTGGAAACATCTGGCTTTTTAGTTTTGCTTTTAACGAGACCTTGTTGAGACTTTGTTGACAACTGAGAAGATGGTTCATGATCAGGGGATGTCTCTGATTGGGTTCGAGATGTACCGGGAAGTGAGTTTACAGTTTGTGTAGACGTAGCAGGCGAGACAGGTTTAGGAGATTCTGTTTTGACCCAGGTTAAGTCTGTCTGACAACTAGCAGATACTTTAGTTACTCTAGATGTTGCCCCAGCCGTTGTTCTGGCAATGGAAGCATAACTGTCTGTCTGTTCTGAGCCGTGGACTAGTTTCTTGGCATCTGCAAAACTAATGTTTTGCGTGAATTTTATTTGATTGATTGCCATTTGCTGTTTCCATACGGGACAGTCCTTAGAGTAAGCTGGGTGGTTCCCTGCACAGTTGATGCACTTTTTGACAGTACTGTTACAATCTTCTGTTGTGTGTGTCTTTTCACCACAGTGAGCACACACAACAGACAATGTACAAGTATTTACGCCGTGTCCAAACTTCTGACATTTAAAGCACCTGAGAGGGTTTGGAATGTAAGTCTCCACATTGAGGTTACAATAACCTGCCTTGAGAGATTTTGGAGCAATGGGTAAAGAAAAAGAAAACAGATAAGTATTGGTTTTGATGGTTGTATCGTTTTTACGTGTAGAAAAACGTTTAACATAGAGTACACCCTGATCCTTCATTTCGGAAACGATATCTAGTTCCGACATGTCAGCCAGCAATCGCTCACGATCTCTTACGATTCCCTTGCTCGTGTTAAGGGTCTTGTGAGCCGTAACGGTGACGGGAATGCCGACAAAAGTTTCAGTGTTCAGTAGGTTGTTTGATTGGTGCCTCTTGCCACACTCAATTAACAACGCACCAGAACGTAATCTTTTAACATTCTTCACATCGCCAGCAATGCCTTGGATACCTTTAGACACAGCAAAAGGATTTAATTTTAATGGTGTATCATCTTTGGTCTGAATTACAACAAAACGTGGCCAGTAATCAGTTGGTTTGGGCAGTCTAAGTTCGTTGTCAACAGGGTCATTGTCAAGAGGACGTTTGGTTTTTTTTTGTTTGGAGTTTGATAAGCCATGGTAAGTTTTTAATGGTTCATCATCCGAGCTCCCCACCCACCACGGAGTATCACAAGGACAATGCTAAACACAAGTGGATCTCCAACTTGTAGCACCAAGGATACTCGGATGATATACTCAAGCAGAAAAACTAAAAGATTAATTTTTCCACCAGATTGGCCCATGAGCCACCGCCTTCTGGGTATAGTACTCTAGGCAAATTACAAAAGTGAAATATTTACAAATTCAAAAACATAAACATGAAGCCAAGTCATTTCAGAAAACATTTTCCAAATTGTCTAAAACGTGTGTATCAAAATATACATACACAGGGCTTGGCATGACCAGCCGATTGATAGAACCGGGCCAGTTCTACCACCCGTCTAGGTGAAGTCAGGGCCGAAGTGGTGTGTTAGGCAAAGGAACACTGATCCTGGAACCAGTGCCCTCAACCACCAGAATCCCGTCCTCCACCGACACAGGGGCGCAACCCACGGCAAACGGGTTGGTGGACCAAATATCCCCCCGGGTCCACAACGAGGGGTTGAAGGGCGTTTAGCGTGACCCAGCACCCACCACGAGGAGGTGGCCCTTCATGGGTGCCACACACAAAAGAGCGCACACAAGAGCGCACACACATACGCACACACGACCAAACTACTTAAAGGAGGGTCTATATCTGTCTACTTCGGGCCACTGAGACCCCATTCTCGCTCCTTGTCCACAGTGGTCAGTTATGTATTGTGGACAGATTTCAGTGATCAGTTTGTTCAGTGTAAATTTGATATACATACATATACCCGATCAAAACTCGTCATATGAGCGAAATATTCTCAAGCACGACGTTAAACCCAATTCACCTCACCTCACCCGATCAAACTGTTCAGAATTTCGAATGACGCAGTTCGGCCTCTTTCACCAAGTGTACATTTCCGAATCTTACGATCTCGTATGGTTCGGTTCTTGGATGGTATGCAATATCCGATCTTTTGGTATGAACATATTTAATAAAGTCTTTATGATTAGACATGAAAAGAAACAGAAAAACGTATCTAAATTAGCAATTTGCTATGTTTATTCAAATATCGTACGTACTAAAATATTTACGTTAGAAATCAGATTGGAAAATCATGAACATTTCATTGTCTTTTGAAACAGGCCTCATTCTTATAGACCATTCTCTTGAGTGTATGGCAATAATATTGAATGCTTGTGAAGAGTCGTGTTATTATGGGTTGACATGACACGTGTCTTTTGATTAGTCAGCTTTTACCTAGGTCAAATATTTAAATATATACATGTACAATACGAACAGATCAAATATTTTAGAGGAGTGCTTGTTTGATTGCATGGTGTTTGTTTGATTGTATTGTGCTTGTTTGACTGTATGGTGCTTGTTTGATTGTATGGTGCTTGTTTGATTGCATGATGCTTGTTTGATTGTATGGTGCTTGTTTGATTGTATGGTGCTTGTTTGATTGAATTGTGCTTGTTTGACTGTATGGTGTGTGTTTGATTGTATGGTGTTTGTTTGATTGTATGATGCTTGTTTGATTGTATGGTGCTTGTTTGACTGTATGGTGCTTGTTTGATTGTATGATGCTTGATTGATTGTATGATGCTTGTTTGATTGTATGATGCTTGATTGATTGTATGGTGCTTGTTTGATTGTATGATGCTTGTTTGATTGTATTGTGCTTGTTTGATTGCATGGTGCTTGATTGATTGTATGGTGCTTGTTTGATTGTATTGTGCTTGTTTGACTGTTTGGTGCTTGTTCGATTGTATTGTGCTTGTTTGACTGTATGGTGCTTGTTTGATTGTATTGTGCTTGTTTGATTGCATGGTGCTTGTTTGATTGTATGGTGCTTGTAATACAATGGTCACCACACCACAGCAACAGAATCGAGGAACCGTATTCATTACAACGTGGTTCAGTGAATGGTGTTCGTCAAATTATAGACTACAACATATATACTCCCAGCAGAATTCATCACACAATATAAAGAACGTGGCCACAGCCTACAAACATGGTGTTTGTGATCATAGCACGTCAACGGGAGGTAGCCTAGTGGTTAAAGCGTTCGCTCGTCATGCCGAACACCCGGTTTCGATTCCCCACAAGGGTACAATGTGTGAAGCCCCTTTCTGGTGTCCGTCATATCTGGAATATTGTTAAACGCAGCGTAAATCCTAAACTCACTCACTCTTTCATTTTCATCTCCCTGGGGATTATACAAAGTACAACGGCTTCAGGGACATGTTTGCTGTAAAGATGTTATACGAGTTTGAGTACTTGTTTTATTCACCCGTTGTAATGCAAACTTTGATACATTATATCATATATGTCATGCTACAGTCACTCTACTGGACTCCGGGTTTCAATGTGCGTCTGTCTGTCAGTCTTTCGATCTCGTAAGAACAGTACCGATAGTTATTGCAACTTTGAACTCTTAATGTCGGATTCCACCAATATATCTCAATTATAAAATGTGTATATATTTTAGTAATAATAAAGGATACATTGGATTCAACACCGATGACAACTACAAACTCGTATGTAAATTAAATTTTTCACACATGTAAACTATTACCTTTACTGTTATACATTTCTCACACATGTCAACTATTACCTTTACTGTTATACATTTCTCACATATGTAAACTACAGTATTACCTTTACTGTTATACATTTCTCACACATGTAAACTATTACCTTTACTGTTATACATTTCTCACACATGTAAACTATTACCTTTACTGTTATACATTTCTCACACATGTAAACTATTACCTTTACTGTTATACATTTCTCACACATGTAAACTATTACCTTTACTGTTATACATTGTCGATAACCATGTCAATATCACTAATCGAGATCACACTTGTCTAATCAATAATACTCGTACAAAGATTACAATCTGGGGTTATTAACTTGAAAAGAGTGTGTGCTACCAGGATATCGCAGGCTCACACACACACACACACACACTCACACACACACACTTTCACAGCGCGTTACTTAAACACATCAAAGATGTTTTCCTTGAAGGTGTGTCTTTGTGTCTGTTGATTTATCATGTGGGCCTCCTTGTAGTTGGCATTTGCCGGGCACCAGTTCTTATCAGGCTGCAAGGCCAGTTTCACTCTCTGAAAAATGGAACACGTTTGCTAGTATTTCAAAGATAGTGTTTTCATGAGGAAACTGGTTAATGGCAGGCAAACCTAACGAAAATATCCCATTTGAAACTATTCCAGCAGGGTCATCATTAATTACAGGTAATTAGTACATGCAGAGAAATCCACCCTCAGGTTACTGTCTTCACCTTTGTAAAGTTCTGGGTATATTCAGTCAGATCTGGTCACCAATGACATGTTTTCAATAAGGCTTTGCATCAGTTCTAGGCACAACTCGGGTTAAGAATTGTGTCTATCATCTCAAATTTGAAGTGATAAAAAGTAACTTGGACGGAATTGCTCACTGTGCTAGTTTGAACTCGGAACTTTGTGCTGACTCAGATGTATAGTTAGGTCATCTGTCATCTAAGCAAAAGGCCAGTCTGCTCGTGCAAATGAGGAAACTATTCCAAACAATCAATTGTGGCATCAACACGTGACATTGCCAACACGCAATGGAATGCATGTTAGTGTTTGGTGCTGATGACGTAATACCACATTGTACCATCTTAAGAGAACCCGTCGCCCAATGTTTTCTGACAGCAGTGATCAAGAAGACCGGCAGAGGGAGAAGCGGCAACACGGCGAAACACCAACCGATTATATTGGCGTAGCTGGGAAACTCGTACTTGCCGTAGGTCGGTGGCTGGTAGCTGATAGTTGTAAGGATGAAAACTATCTAGAACACAAATACCAAATTCACAATTATATTGTGTGACGTTATTTATAATCCTAAGTAAACATTTTTGTGGGTGCTTTTTATCAGTGTAAATGACTACCACAGATATTATTTAAATCTAGCATGTGACCATAAAAATATGTATCCATACTGAACATTAAAATAGAAAAATACAGGCAATAGGTCGACAGCAACCAAAGCTGGACCACCTTATTTTTTGGTCCAGGGGTACTTACATTACGTTTACCCGCATGGATTTACACCATCCCTCCAGCAGCTGGCGATTATCAACAAATTTAGCCAAATTAACATAGCACAAATTCTAGAATTTTGTATTAGATCACTGGTGTACGATCTAATCAAGGGTAATCAGTAAAAACGTCATATCTCAATATATTGTTTTGAAACTGGTAACTATTTATAATTGACATTACGATTGTGGAAAGCGCGCGTATAATGTGGAAAGTCAGTCTGCAAGATCGTCGGAGGAAACACAACTGGACTCATGAGAGCCGTCATGTGAACAAACTAAATAGTGTGGCTTTGAATCCGTCACCGTTCAGGGCCCTATCCTTAATAAAAACACTTCGAATCAATCAACATAATTCTTTCTGTTACGTCCTTGTAATGTCAAAATTACAAAATAATTGTTCCATGACGTTGACGTTGATGTTGTTCCAACTTCTTCAAAATGATCCTTTATTTCCGCACAACAGTACCAGAGCCTATCATTGGTACCATGTGTAAAACCCGTTTCTGGTGTCCATGCAGAGATATTGCAGAAATGTTGCTAAAATGGCATTAAGCCGCACTCACGTTTTGGAAAGTGTTGCAGACAGTAGTATGTTGCCATTCACCAATATAAGAATTACGCCTCCTCTATACTAGTGTTCTTACCAACAAGATTGCCGGAGTAACAAACGCCAAGAGAACCTTAACTGCCGGTGAAAGATGTTTTCCAGTCATCATCTCTACGTCACTACTGAATCGTTTTGCCCCTGAAACAACATGATATGCACCTTTACATTGATTTCTCAGAGATGCTGTATTTGAAGTAACGATTTTGCAGTTTGAAATAGAGACTTTATAGGTTGAAGCTGTATATACCAACCATATATCCACATGACGGCAACACACTCCAGTGTGCAAAACACCAAAGGTCCCAGAGAAGCTACATACCAGTCTACCAGCTGGAACATGTACGGGCCTCCCTGCAATACAGAGAAGATGGACTACCATCGCAAACACTGATACCACTGCCACGATACCAACAGTCATTCTCAACGAAACTGCACAATTCAGAGAGGACAGTGCAGAAAAACAAAATCACGTCAGTCCAAGAAAAATATTTATTTTCCCAAACTACAACATGAGTTTTTCAGCACTCAGTGAACAGTATTAAACCTGCAGCACTGGTTTAAAGTAAGGTACCCATGAACACCCAAGTAATTTACGTTCCTGGGTAACTAGTTGTATCAATATAAACAGCGAGAAATCTCTTTTGTTCTTGTTTTGATTCAAACATCGAATAAGGAAACAATTAATTAATCTGAATATCAAAAAGAATGTGTACTCAGTAAAGCATGTTTCACACTGATGACGCCACATAATACCTGTTCAAAATCCAGAACTGACGGAACCACGCATACCACATTTATTGTGTATCAAAGTATAAAATCAGAAACTTGAAAATATAACGTTCCATGTCACGAAAACGCCATGGAATCACACAAAATGGGAATGAATATATTTTGGCTTTAACTGTTACACACCTTTACCATCTTACAGTTCCACAGCGTGACGTATATTACGTTGTAACTTACGTTCTTGTTAAATCCAAAGACTGAATTTTTATTAAACGCCAAAGATGAAAAAAACACAGTAAAATCTTTCCACCAGATATGTAATCAAAAGAAATGTGAAATTTATTCTGGAAACATGGCCTTAACATCGCGCAGCACTGACATACACAGAATGAGATATTGGGATAAAACGTGTTTACTTTTGAATTCATACTTATTTTGAGCAAGTTAAAGAACAATCTGTATAGTTGACAAAACGTACACTTCAATTTCATCAATATATTAAATCGTTTTATTATCTTAATTAATGATTCCGTAAGAAATATTCGTACGAAATTTACGTAACACCTTTATAGTAACTTTCTTTTGGGTGAGAAAGTGGCATGATCGACAATGGAATCCATAGAATGAGCATTGCTCTGCTCGCATGCAGACATTCAAACGGGTACTAACACGTGATTTTTTTGGTGTCCTTGGGGTTTCCCATGTAACGCTCTGGACCATTCTATCATCACCGTCACGTATGATTACGTTCTCAAAAACAAATTGGTCTCTAGAACGAACATTATTGGTCTGTGTTCAACTAACCTGTATCTTCTGTAGACATAACATGCATGCTATTTAAACTATATCATTTCATGCCCTACATAACGCCTTTTGATATTGCAACAGTTTTTAGGTATGAGTAATACAATCTGACATAACGTAAATTGCACGCGTGCTGTCGACAATTGTTTATTGCATACATTGCAATTGTGTATGTTTTCACATGCGTATTTGATGGGGTTTTTTTATCAACAGTTCCTGATTGCTTCCAAAACTTAACTATATTGTACTCGTGATAGCGGTGGTCATCTTAGACGCAGCTTTTATTGTACGTCACCTACCGACACCAGAAAAACCGTACACCCTACCCATGTATGTCAATCAATGCTAAACCATTGTTTAAATTACTTGTTAGTTTTCTTGCTTTTCGTGTTTCCTATACTTTATTTGTCATTATTAATGTATTTAAAGATCAGAATGTGTTGTTTTTTTCATGCATCGCATCTTGCGAACTCGATGACCGCAATTGTCCACTTTTACTGAGAATGACTGACAAAAACAGTATTACTTTACAATTGCTATTACTGTCGTATCTAATACCTAGACAGCCTTCTGTGTTATCACTGCTGGTACTACTATCAGTATTTATCATTGTGACTGCTTGTTTTGTTTTGTTTCCTACTGCTGGGAGTGGTATACAATGGTTATCGTTACACTACAATACAATAACACTTGCACTTTGAGAAAAACCTTCAACTAGTAAAGTGCCAACACGTGGACATTGATACCTGACTGTGATTAATAACATTTCCATTAATAGTTTCATTTCATTTTATGTATCCCGCACATTCCTGGTCCGATTTGTGAAAAATGAGTGTTGTCTAAAGATCACCTGCGTGCAGAAGACGATTCCAAAAAGAAAGAGTATCAGGCAACATCCTCCTGTTACAAGCAGCCTCCTCTTTCCCAGCTGCCGTGGATACTCGTCTACCAGAGCAGTTATGACTACTTCCATCCCCAGGAACTGGAGCAAGTAAAATGTCGGAATTATCGTAATGGAGAGACTGATCAATGCAGTATACTTTACATTCTAGTAAGCATATTTATGTTCTCTTAAAAAGAGGTTGTGTTCTTCATATTTGATCAATCCAGTATTGTACAGTACGAAGTGAACTAATTACATGATTTGCACTCAGAAGATATGGTTACACTCTGCGTTTACTACATAGTTACTTCATAAACGTGAATCGAAAATATGTGGCAACGGTCAGTGAAGTAAACAGTTTTAAAATGCAATCTCGTCCCTGTGATTACGTTGAATACTTGAATACGTACCTGCGAATCCAAACCAACCATCAGCAACATCAGAAAGAACAAGAACGACCACAGCTGAGGAAGCGGAAGTTGGGCCAGAGCTTCTGGATACGTTACAAATCCTAAACCTGGACCTACAAGAATAACATCTATCATATTCATGCACATAATCACATGTCTCACAATGTCGAACAGGTGTGTTTGCTGAGGGTATTTGCTCGCAAACAACTTGCAAGTGGATAGAATCAGTTTCTGAACCAACGCCTTATCCTTTTAAGGCTATGTACCCCAGCGTCAGAGTAATGGCAGCTTGGTTCCTTTGACTGTACATTTCCACCAGCGGAAAAATCGTCGTATTCACTCCTAAAGCATGGCATAGACTGAGACTTTCCAAAAGAAAATCGTTAAAAGGAAAAACTACCCTGCTCTCAAACATTCAACAATTGTGAAACTGATCATCTCCTTTTAGCTGAAATTTTGTAATGTAATTTGAACATTTACGTGGCTTATTGGCATTCTAGTTTGTTTGTTGTGCAACCTCTGCTTGGGACGTTTTTGTCATTTTGTACTGTTTAATACGATAAAGGACAAGGTTTTTTGCTTTTTGGGGGGAGGCGGTTCATAATTTGTTTGGTCTGCATGGACTAAGGATGTGCTCCCATGCTATCATTGCAGTGACTAACTAACTTTATATCATGACTACGAATCCCCTACCTGTTGAAACTACCTTGGCAATAGGAACACCAATTTTCTGTGCCATCGACCCGAGAACAGCAAACGTTACCAGGCCAGAAAAGATGCTGGTTCCCTCTGATATTATGGACAATATCAAGCAATCTCTGTGAATATACATAATGAATCAAAATATAAATAAAATATATCATATTTATTGAGAAAGTGTAATCCCAAATATAGCATGTTAAATTTCAACATAATTGAAAACAAAAAAAGGCCTTCAGATACTGTCTTTAGTACGAAAATATCTTTAGCGTATTCTTATACTAAAAACACATAATTTGTGCGGGAGAACAAATGGACGCGGCTGACAGTGGCAGTGATCGAGATGCAAGAGCGCCGCTCATCGTTTGATGTGTGTTAAAAACTCCCTGTGCAGTCCTGACAACATACACGCTGAAGGTATTCAATGGCCTGATAATATTCAACTCTTCCACTGTTGTCCGTCAATTTTGACCAAAAAAATTCACTTATTTAAATACGGGCGACGCCATATTTCTTACACTCACGATGAACATAGTAGACGTATTTGTTTACTTATTTTGATTGTTTTATTTTCGTTTTCACGTACAGAAACTTGAGTTATTAAAGGATTGAAAACCTATGCTTGTAACCACACTAACAGTAAATTTTATTTAATTTCATAGGAGTGTTCTCGTGTTACATGCTCTCAAAATGTGTGAAAACTTCTGAATGAAAATCATGAATGGAATGAGTGATGAAAGTAGTACCGGTAATGTCAAAGTTCACGTATTAGCCAGTCAAATCACTCGAAGGTGTTATGACACACATGTGTTATGATGTGTCATAAGAGTTTCTTTGAAACCCTTTACGAACTACCACGTGGGTAATAATAATGGCTCCTACACATATTTACATGCTGGCACTGGAACTACTCAGTTCGTCATTGTAACTTACAAACTTAAACCTAGCGAATGGATGTTAATGGTCAGTCCACGACAACATCTGTGGAGGTCACCATTTCCCAACAAAACGATAACCTGTGTCCGTCCATCATCAGGATCGAATTTTACATATTGTCTCTGTATGACACTTTATGTCTTGACGAACTTAAACCTAAACTTGTTATTGTTACTGCCGTTCTGACTAAAACTATAAATGCACAGGCCCATACATGGCAGCCATATGATATAACTAGCAAATGTTTGACGTGACGGGAGACAGCATTCAGTAGCTCTCTCACACACTCCAATATTCACCTAAGACATGGTAGATGGAACGTTTTGTAGCTTGCTGCTGTTCCAACTGCCCCGTAGCCAGGTCCAAGGGAGTAGAACACCTGCAGACACGCTTCTATCCATACCTGAATTGAGTATCACCCAATTATGACCAACTGGATTCTCCCTGATGTAAAGGGAGTAAAAGTAGCTGTGAAAAATATAGGTATGGATCACTGAGAAGCAGCGGCGACAAGTGAGCTTTACTTTACCTAAGATGTTACTGAACCGTGAGGCAGTACCAGGTGAGGGTTCGAGTGATCCTGGTACAAGCTGGTTAATCTCATTACTATCTGATGCCATCTGACGGCGACTTCGACTTCTCACATGAAGCAGTGTTGGGATCTCTTTCATACTGCCGTTATACTTGTACTGTGATTTAATTTGTTATTACCACTCAATTTTGTTTGGCCGATGGTACACTCTTAAAATAAATGCATCGGTAAGTTTGAGAATATTGGACTCATGTAGCTGCGGCAAAAATAATTCAAATAAATGTATACTATTTCTTTTCAAAACGTCATCTTTGTGTGATTGTAGACAGCTTCAGCGCCAAAAACGCGACAATTTTAAGTT